TTGGTTTCAATTTGTATAACTATCTGAAATCGTCTACGCCCAATTTTAAGTAATTGTGAAACAATGTAGAATTACGATAAAAAGGAGTTATTAATATTGTTTGAAAATCATTAAAAAAGACATTAAAGCGCGTGTTTAGTTTGCTTACAATATTACTTTAATTAACATTTTTATTTAAAATGTTATTATTACCATTATAAAATCTATTCTTTTTCCATACCCCAGAATTGAACTTTTTGCACGGTTTATCTTTCTTCTTTTTTTTTCACATTGGCTAATGTTCAGATTTCCATCAAATGTCACCTGGATATCATTTTATCCATGTTGTTCATTGAATGTTAAGGATTGACTGGAAGACACTTAGGAAATCTGAACATAGGGAAGAACCTTGGGAAGAAAAAGCTGAACAATTACGATTCACAATCTGAATTGCTCCATATGTGAAGCATCCAAAATCGGATTTTCAGGAATTATACAGGTATATGTGCATTGAAATTTAGGCATCAGGCAGGGTAAAGCAAATGAGAGAAGGAGAAAAAGAGAGAAAGACAGAAAGAGAGGGGAGTCGTACTACTTACCACCGGTTACCCCTGCAAAATGACGTAGCACATCCCTTTCACTCGGACGTATCCATCCCACCGTGTGCGTCTCGATTTCCTTTTCGCCGCGACGAAGAGCTCTCGCCGAGGGAGGAAATCGGAACTCCTCTTGCAGCACGCGGATGCAGCCTTGCACACTCCGTCCGGGCGTTAGCCGTGCGACAGAGAGAGCCCAGGCAATACGACTGAATCTCTCCTACGAATTCAGCATCCCATACGGCTAACACGCTGGACCGCCACCACCTTGCTGGGGGTAGCGCGCGCGTCATGGACAAGGACGGAGTGCCGGTCGGGCGCGCGCGCAAGATACAAATGTATAGGGTGGTGCAACTGGAAGATGGGTGATTTCCCGATGAGAAGACACATTGGAAATACCAAAAACTTCTTTCACTTCTCATGATGTCTGAAGAAGCGATTAGCTTTCTCTAGATAAACATTGAAAATTGGAAATCCGAGAAATTTTATCGATCGACTTTAGCATGTAGAATAGCATGGACAAAATTACTTGAGTTGATAAAATTTTTAATAAATTTGATGGAAAAATTAATTTAATATCGAGAATCAAAGAAATGATAGCACGAATATGACAATAAAACTTTTGTCTATTTCAGCTTATTGAAATGATTGAAGGTAATAATGATAATTCTCGAACACCGTGTACATAAATAAAGAGCGAGCGAGCGAAAGAGAGGAAGAACTGATCCAACTAGAAGCTATATAATAGAAGGAAAGAGAGAAATATAAGCTCATAGCAGAATAGGAGAGAGATCTATGTAAGGAAAGAAGCAATATAAGGACGAGAGGTGATGGAGGAAAAATTGGTAAAAGTAGAGAAAAATAGTCACACGGAACAGGTCAATGTTTCAATGTGATAAACGATACAGTGTCAATGCTACGAGGCCGCAAAGTATCACAGAGTAGAGCAGCGATTGGATGGATTTTACAGACGCTTGAAAAAAAAATTATATCAGTAGGCGATGATAGGAAAAAATATATTCGAGCGCGAGGGATGAATCCTATCTACTTAGAACGAATAGGATATGTTGAGCTTACGGCAGACAGAATCTTCAAGGTATTCAATTGAGCGAGAATATTAATAGAAGACACGGAGAATGTGGGTTAGAATAAAATAAAAGGAGTAGCTCTCAGAGAAAGAGGATTGTAAGAATCGCAGATTAGGAAGGAGAAAAAGATATGGATGATCTTAAACATAAAGAACTAAATAAATTTAAATATAAAGAAATTTATTTAAAAGATCCTAGATTACATAAGATCCTTTCTATAGTTATTATTACTACGTCAGATATTATTACGTCACGAAAGAAAGAGCTAAAGCAAACGTAAAAAGGTATAAAAAGAATGGCGAATACAGCGAATGGAAGTAATCGAGAATTAAAATATAATCTCACATCGGAGACAATTCATGTGAGAGGAAAACAGATAAAATACACAAAGAGTAGAAAAAGAGAAAGATAGAGAAGGCGCGAGATGAAAACAGTGAGACAGAGAGAGAGAGAGAGAGAGAGAATGAGAAAGAGCGGGTAAGAGACATGTTCATGTGCCCGTATTGATCTGTTCGCGCAAACTCCTGGTCCTTAGACTCCCTCCGCGGCCGACCCTCACCCCCGCTTGTCGCCACCCTCATCCTGTTTCATTCCTAGTTTCCGAATGCATGGTCCAGAGTCCTCTGGAGGTTCAACTATGATCCCGTTGTCTTCGCCGCTTGTTTGAAATCCCAATTGACGCACAACTTCCTCGCTGTCTCGCTTGATTCCGGAGGCCTATCCCAAAGTCTTTTGAAAAATCATCATTTCCAGCAGCTACTCCAATAATCACCATTTTGAGAAATATATTAATTCAATGCTAATTATCATCTCCTTTTCTTCGTATAACTATTTACAACTTCTGTATGTTATATACTGAATGATTTCTTTTCAAGGTTTTCATTAATTCAATTTTGATCAATCTCTTCTTCGGCTTTCAGGAGAAATAAACGCAGGCAACGATAGCGATTTATGTCAATAACGTGCAATTATGCAGACGTTGAAGGAATCATATTGAAAGTCACATTAAAATCACATTTCATTTAACTAGCTGATTAAATCGTATCTGCTATGCACTAACTTCTCAATTGCCTACGGTAGAATTAACTCTCATTTCATGCGAAGCTTCGCGGTAATATCTGATCGTTCTTAAATGCGCTCTTGCAAAGCTAATTGATGTAATTACCAGGCCACCTTGAAGATCCACCATGACCCTGCTCCTCGGGTCACAGCTTGACAAGGGGTTGTCTCTATAGAGGGTGCGACCGATGCACGGCGTTAACGTCGATATATCAACTTCTACGTGCTTTCATCAATAATGCAGCTAGAACTTTCTTAGTCTTAGCTGAAATTCAATTTGCAAAAAACAGATTGAAAAATAACAGAACAGACAAAGAAAATATTTATGAACTTGTGCAAACGTGCAGGATGTTTCGAATCTACTTGTATTTGTTGACGAGTTAAATTAATCTCTTTCAAAAATTGAAAATTGATAAATTAGAAGTCTATAAAATGACGTTAAATTTCTTTTAACTCGTCCCATCTTTCACGGGGAATGGAAAGAATTACGTAGATAACGATAGCGGTTTTACATCAATGAATGCGTTAACGATGTTGCGGTGGCGCGGGATCGACGAATGGGGAACAATGTCGTTTTCGTGCGTTGAACAAGCTGTATCGTTTTCGACGTTTAATTAAATGGCGGAGGGCGTCGAACAGCAACTTGACGGGACAGATATTTGGTCAGACGAAGGAAAGAGAAAGACATGGAAAAGGAAAAAGAAGAAAACAGTGACAGGAAGGATTGAATAAATATATGTTGCAATGGATCAGTGCAAACGCAAACAATTACGAGAAAGAAGAATGAAAAGTATCGAGAAGAGTTTTCGGAGACAACAAACGAGGTTTTTTTAACTCGTAGCCCTCAAAAATTCTCTCAATCCTATTAAAAAAAGAATTGCATAAAAAGATCAGTAGCGTAATTGTGAAAATGCTCTCTCCCGAATTAAAAAAAATATATAATTCTAGTCATTCTTGAATTCAAATCTTATAATCTTTATTAACGAGTGATCAAAAGGTCACGTCATAAAATAAGCAATAATTATTACATTCAGAAAACAAAGTCGCTCAATGATTCTTTAATATAATTATACATTATAGTTATTGCTTTTAGTTCTTTGTTGGATCTAAAGCTACCAATAAAGAAAATTGAGTGCTCATCGACTTTTCTGAATGTAATTAATATCGTACAATGATTACATCATTTGCTAAATATAAGCGTCAATGATAGAAACGATAGAAACTTAGTCATTATCTATTTATTAAAGTATAAAGACTTATTTGTAAAGTATTATAAGAAATTAAGTTACTAGATTACAATTTTTTTTTAATTTTCCAATTTATAGTAAACTTATAATTATTATAATATAACAAACTTATTTTAACTTTATTCTATTATTATAGTATATACGTATACTTATGTATATTCATACTTATGATACGTATACATATACTCACATATATATATATATCATTATATATAGCCAACATAAAAATAATGCTTTCATATATGTAGAAAACAATATTGAAGGAATTACAATAATAAGATTGAACTTATACAGAATTAGATTATAAAACGCATTGTATTAATTATTTTGTATTATTAAACGTATATATTAATAAGAAAAAATATACGAGATCATAAGTTTAATATATATGTATATATAAAATAAAAATAATGCATTTTGCATTTAAAATAAAGACAATATCATGGGCATAAGCAAGAAAGGGGAAAGGAGGAGCACTAATTCCCTCTAAATTCTGATGAGAAGAAACAGTTCTGAAAATCATTTTTACAGATAAAAAATTCAATACTCATTGCTTAATTCGTCACTCACGCGTTATTCATAAGAAAGTTCTCAGAATAATCTTGAAATAAGTATTTCAATAATAATAGTTTTCTGTGAATAAATTGTTGCCCCTCTCTCGATTAAAATTTACACCCATACAGAAATAATGACAGTATAAGATAGATCTAAACAGATTTTTAGAAATCTGTGGATGTAAATAGATCTATTCTAAAAAGTATTAAGTTTTTAATTGTAATTTTTGCGTCATGACATTATGAATATCTTCCCGATATTTAAATAAAGATCTGTATATATATATA